TAAAATTCAAGGCAGTCTGTGTGTTATCAATACCATTGTTTTTATCTAATATGCAGGATGGATGATTTAATTTCTTGAGGGTATTGTTTGATTTACGTGTGTTCCTCTACTACATAAGGCAGGGTGACACAAGGCTAAATCAGAAGTGGATAAATTGCAATGTTGGAAATTCAAAGCTTAGTCATAGGACCATAAGACCATATTATAACTCATACCCTGAAGGAGACCACACTGAGATTCCAGGGGCAGTCTTAGGTCAAACATTTCTTGGCCCTTGGATGTTTGATTTCCTAAACTCAAATTTTTTAAACTTCTTTTAGTGTTTTCAACCCTGCCAGGGTTTTTTTAAGGGAATGCAATCTTCCAAGTCCCATCCTGAGATATCTACTGCTTCTTCCCTCTTTTAACACTTTGCTCTGACCTCCTTGCCATCAGGTCCCAACTCTATTCCAGTTCATTGTCAAAGTCTTTTACTTTCATATGCACATTGCTGTCCCCTAGTCCAGCCAGTCCCTGGCTTATTCTCCCTCAATGTTTTCTTTTGGTCACTGTGACCTCCCTGCTTGTCCCCACACTCTGGTATTGTGAAGATGCTGACAGAGATACTGGTGGGTTATTTCTTCTCTCACCTCAGCCTTTTCCTCAGTTTCCTGACTCCCAGTCTCTAATCAGATATTTCTCTGTTCTCCATTAAACTCCACCCATTTGCCCAGTCTGACTTTGGTCCTGGCACCTTGGTGCAGCTGTTGTCATTTGTTCCTGTCCTGTTTCTGGGAGTGCACCAAGAGCTCACTGGGACAATGAGCAAGCAGTTTCTTTGACGCCCTCCACCCTTGACCCGTGGGCAGTGAAGTGGGCCCTGCTCCTCTGTGACCAGATCTCCTGTGAAACTCTGTCATAGGCAATGGCAGAGGCATCTCTGTGAGGGTTTGATTGATGAAAGCTGCAGTACATCTGACCTGTGAGCAAAGTGCTTTTTCCCATCCAAGAGTCAACTTTTTTACTTGATGTGTTATGATTTGACAGGGACGACAACCAGCTCTCTTCCCAGGAAGATGAATCCTGGCAGGTTAGAAATCCATGTGGCTATAGATCTCTGAAAATACTTATGTCTTTATTTCTAGTTATCAATGCCTTTTTTGCCAAGCCTCATGCAGCCACTTGCTCATTCCCACGCCAAAGGGATCTGGGAAAGAATCAAAAAGGTAAAACCTGGAAAACGGATGTATAGAGATAAAGGCAATTTAATAGGGAAAACAAAAGCCACATACATTAACAAAGCAAAATGAGGAATAAATTCCCTGCTTCCCATGGGCAGGCCAGTGTTCAGCCACCTCCAGGGGACCAGAGCCCCATCACATATCACAGATACTTGGAAAGACAAATGCCATCACTCCAAATTTCCTCTCCTTCTGCCTCCCTCATTCTTTTGCTTCCTCCTTCCTCCCACTTTATATACTGAGCATGATGTCATATGGTCTGGAATATCCCTTTGGTCAGTTTAGATCACCTATCCTGGCTGTGTCTCCTTCCAGTTTCCAGTCTTCTCTCCCGTGTGGCAGAATGGAAAGCAGAAAAGGCTTTGGCTCTGTGTAAACCTTGCTCAGCAATAACAAAACCATCTCTTTATTATCAACTCTGTCTTCAGCACAAATCCAAAACACAGCTCCAAATCAGTCACTGTGAAGAGAATTAATTCTACCCCAGCCCAAACCAGCAAGTTCCAGCATTTACTCCATACAATTTTCATCATGCCCAGGTCCCACACTATTTGATACAACTTTTTTAACCACCACCCTTTTTCCCATCCTTTGAAATAACGAACAGAATAATTTCTTTGGTCAATGGACCACCCCTAGAAAACACTCATAGAATGTCCACAAATGTTCACAAAATATCCTTTGAGTTTACTAAGCCATGACTTTCGGCTCCATCTGTTCTGGTGGTCACTCAGTACAGGAGTGGTGTTGTGTTTCTTGGAGTTACTGGGCACCAAAGCCAGCTCAGGTCTGGTCATTGATGCACTTAAATTTCTTCTTATAAGGCTTCTCCTCCATTGATATGGGTGGTTTCTAATTCCTGTAATATGCAACTCAAATCACGGCTTACAACAATTTAAAGGCACATCTCCACCCTTGGCCCTTTTTGGACCAGGTTATCTCATTTAGCCTTGCAATGAACTCCTCCTCTTGTCCCCAGACTGGCTTCAACAAGGGGTTCCTCCTGATGTCCACCATTATAGTCTACATCATCATCCTCCTCCATGGGTTGTAGGGGTACATTGCTTCATCATGGTCTTCACCATGGTCTGGAAGGGAATCTCTGCTTTCCCTGCTCCAGCAGAGGGGTTCCCACCCATAGGAGACAGTCCTCCTTGTACTTTTCCATTGTGGGTCCTTCTCAAGGGCTGCAGTTTTTCATTAACTGCTCCAGGTCCTGCCATAAAACCTACTCCAGCAGAGGCATCTCACAGGGTCATGCCACATTCACCTGAAGGATGGATGCCTGAAGGAGTCCTGGGGTCCTCCAAGGACTGCAGGTAAATCTCTGCTCCATCATGGGCTCATCCACTTCCCTTCAACTCAAGATTCCAGCCTGTCCAGTACAGCAGCACAGAAACAGCAGCGCTGCCCTGGCCACCTGCCAGCCCAGGAGCATCACCATGGCTGTCACCAGAACCTTCCTGGGCACAGTTCAGTGAGGTGAGTGCAGCACAGCACCGCAGCAAAAGGTGGCCACTAATGAGAACCAGACCCTAACACACAGCCAGAAATGCATATGTTTACAGACATTCATACTGGAGAGTAAATCCATTGATTTGCAAGATCCTGTTCAGTGGTTTAAAGCAGTTTTTAAACTACAGATGTTTTTCCTGATAGTTCAGCATATGTAAAAGAAGCAGTGCTTTCATGAAAGCCCTTGTCACTTGCTCATGGATGGAAGCAGGAGGTTTTCTATTAAATTCAGATTTCATACTGATTTTCTAACTATTATCTCATAGCCTAAATATGCCACCACACTCAAGAAGTGTTTTTCCCTTTATTTGTGTACATTGCATAACATGGACAAGTGTTAGTCAGACGAGACAAGATATTTTACCCTTTAAAGGTCCTCATTGTATTGGGAAAATGGAAGATCCATTTCAGCCTTTCCCTTTCCCGTTCCCTTTCCCATTCCCACTCCCACTCTCATTTCCATTCCCTTTCCCTTTCCCTTCCCCTTCCTCTTCCCCTTCCCCTTCCCTTGTCCGTTGTCCCTTGTCCACCTTTTCTTTCCTTTTCCCTTTACTTGTCTTTACTTTCCTCTTTCCTTTTCCCTTTGCTTTCCTCTTTACTTTTCTCCCCTTTACTTTTCCCTTTCCTTTTTCCTTTCCTTTTTAGTTTCTCCTTTCCTTTTTCCTTTTTTCCTCCCAGAAAATATCTCTGCTTGGAAGTTTTTTGAATTAAAGATTCAGCTGTGGATGTGTTAAATAGGTGCAGCATTCAACAGTTTACAATAGATGGAAATTAGGAATTTGATTCCAGATGAGTCAGGGGGCTTCCGATGCTGTTGTTACTACCGGCGTTTAAGCCTGATATTTATTTTAAAAACATCTGTCACAGAAGGAGTAGAAGTAGTAAACCTCCCTGATTCTTCCTCCCTGATCCCTTAATCCACCCTTAATTCTTAAATCATCATTGCAGGAAGATAAACTTTTAAGGTTTCACAAGGCTTCCACTGTTCAGATTTAGAAAGTTTGAAAGAATCATTAAAAATTGACACTAATCTTACTGCAAAGAAGTTGAATAGATAGATTTCTATAATCAAATAAGAGATTAATTACATATTCAAAATGGAAACACTAAAAAGAACTGTAGAAAATGCAGTGCTGTTACAGTGAGTACAAGACTGAACAGGCTTTACAATGAGTAGTTAAATGAATCATACATGTTATATGTTATATGTCATATGTTATACAGATGATGTGTATGGATGCTCCCTTCTGCACCAATGTCTTTCTGGCTGACCAGGCTGCACTATCTTCTTCCATGTACATACACATAATTTTAGAGTAATGGAAACAGATATCAGTTGCCTTACATCTACTCTGCCATTGTGGCTGTGATGGAAAAGAAATTTTCTTCTACTACCCGAGTTTGTGTCCTAGTAGCAGCACAGATTTTTAATCACAGAACTATATATTTGCTCTTCCCCAAAGGAATGGGGGAAAGAGATAAAATATAAAAATAAATAGAAGAAAGAACAAGACTATGAAGAAAAATGTTATGTAGTTTATTAATTTTGATTCATTAAAATATAAATATGTATCTAAGGATTTACCTCAAAATAATACAGTATCAACGGCCATCATAGATATATTCACATATAAGAAGGATCTTTACAGTACTTGATGAGCAATTTTGTAATACTTTACTGGATCAGCAAAAGTCAGGTTTTGAGGAGGTTACTGTGTTACCTTGCATTTTTTACAATTTATGTACCCTGTTTTTGTGTTACATCATCTTGTACAATAGTTATGCACTGCATATAATTAAAGTGCACAAAAAAATTTTCAATTATCTATATCTTACAGTGAAAATGCAAACCAGTTTAAATATTGTTCAAAATAACCAGTTAGTCTATACCTGCTCAAATGCATTTATCAGCCAAAGATTAAGCTCATATTTGCTCTGTTACCTGTTGTAATTTTATGAATAGTGTTATAGGTGGTATAGCAGCTGTCATCAACAGATACAATGCAGCAAAATATTCAGCCGACAAAGCTTCAGCTTTCTGCAAAAAACCAGATTTCTGGCATTTTATCAAAAAAGCTTTTCTTTTAAGCCACTGTTAATAAGTAAGACAGGTTAGATCATTTGGTACAAAATTCTGGTATCCCATGTTATGCATTTGGATGGATAACACAGAACTAGAAAATCAAACTTGAGGAAAAATAAGCAATCAATCAAGTGATTTACTTTAACAGATAATTAGCTTTGTCTGTGAAGGCCAGATCAGAGCATTTCATATTAATTTTTAATGCCATTTGCAGTGGCATAAAATAAGTTGTAATATCAAAATGAAGATGGAACTGAGAACCATTATGTTAAACTACTCTTGACTGGAAACATTTTGAAATTTGAAGACATTTCTTTGAAAGATACCCATCTCAAAGGAAAGCCACAGGGAATAAACTGTGAAAAAACTTCTAAAGCCTTTTTCCTGAAGTATTTCCCAACAAAGACATAAATCACGGGGTTAATGCAGCTGTTGGTGGTAGCCAGCATAAAAGCAAACTGCTCCCCAAAGTTGATCAGTTCCCCCCAGAAGCAGCCCTTTATCACTTCTGTACGGTATAAAATATCAAGGAATAAAAAAAAATGGTGAGGAGTCCAGCAGAAGAGAAACATCAGTACCACAGTGAAGATCAGCCTGGTTGCCTTTGTGCCTTTGTGCCACTTGTAACCCTTTGCTCCGAGCGCTCTTCGTTCTCTTGCTGTTTTTTGTAGGGACCGAATGGTGGAGAAGTTGAGGAAGGTGATTGCTGTGGATGGCAGCAGAAACCCCAGCACATTGCCAACCAGGTTTTCAGCTGTTTCCCACGATGGGGTGGGGAAGTCCAAAGTGCACGCTGAAATATTCCACTGGGGAAAGTATTTCACTGTCCGGAATGTGAAAGCTGGGATGCTCAGAAGGATGCAAAAGAACCAGATGAGCAAGCAGATCCTTTTGGTCATAGTTTTGCTCCATATTTCTCTGTGGTTCAAGGTGTGGACAAAAGTCAAATAGCGATCCACGCTGACGGCCACGAGCAAGTAGATGCTGGTGTACATGTTCAAGGTGATGGAGGTGCTGATGCTGCGGCACAGGAAAGTGCCAAAGGGCCAGTTGAACTCTTTATTGATGTTCTCTGCCCAGAAAGGGAGGCACATGAGGAAGATAAGATCAGCAACAGCTAGGTTCATAAGGTAGATTTCAGCTATCTTCAGGGGGCCTTTGTGCAGTGAATAAATTAAGAGAACAAACACATTTCCAAGCATACCAATAACACAGACAGTGTTGATGTACTTGGGTACTATATAGTACACGATGTCCCACCAGTCTTCCAAGTCTGGGCAAACAGTTGAGTTGCTCTGATTTTCACTCTGGTTTGAGGAGGAAATATTCAGTAGAGGAGTTTCAGTCATTTTTAAAAAAATTCAGAAGTGAACAGGAGACGTCTTTGAAATGAGAGAAAATTACTGCAAAAGAGAAGCATAAAAATGCAAAAGTTGCCTCCCATGAGTGATGTAACACATTTAACTGCTGCAAATTCTTTATTAGTCCTTACTGATTATTACAGACTAGATCAAGCCATACTTAATATGTGCAGCAGTGGCAAATATTCCCACTATTAGCAAGGATAGAATTTCCTCTACATTCCATGAAGTTTCCTCTCCTTGCTTCAATTGTTTAAAGTAGCACAGAGGAGGGAAAGTGACAAATGAGTGTAAGTAGTTCTGTACATCTCCTCCAGACTGATGACAGACACAGATATTGGAGGATTCCATCTCCCTGAGAGTAGTGGAAGTCATGCTGGTGACACAAAGCCAGCTTTGCTTCTTCCCTGCCTTTTCTCTTACTCTCATTTACCATGCTATGTACACTATTATATTACTGTATTATATAATATATTATATGTAAATTAATGTATTATTATATTCTGTTATCCTGCCAAAGCAGGATCATTCCTGTTTCCCTAAACTGGGGAAGTTGCTCACTCTCACTTGCCGCCTGAACTTTGCATTCTTTTGTTCCTTCTCATTTCCTCCCACCCTGAATTTTGGGTTCAAAATTTCTATTAGATTAGACAGCTTACTGCTTTCCAACGTCAGCAGTTGGAATAATAAAACATAGACTTCCCTAAAATATTACCCTAAAAATCTTGCCTGGAGGGAAGGCTTCTGCAGCTCTAAATTTACAGCACTCTTCTCCAGTTCAAAAGTTTGAGTTCAGCTGGAGAGAGGCCATCCCAGGCTCCAAAGTATTTAGTCCATCATAGCATTGTCAATACCTTTATATCTTTCTGGTAATTCCATGTGAGATCGTGCAGGAGTAAGAACACAGGTAAAAGCTTATCTTCCCATTAAAATCCACTGGACTTTCTGTCAGAAATCCACTGTCAGAGCTGCCTCCTGCTTCATTCTTCTGGTGCTGCCATGTATGATGATAGTATCTGGATCCTGGTTTTTACATGCATTCAGTCTCAGAACATTATGACAAGTTATTATTGAGCCTGTTCTCCCATCTGACATTTCAGTATTTCATATGCAAGTGGAGCATGTCAATCACAGAAAGAATGTGTTTGAAAAAATCAATATGTTGCAGTCATTCTAAATGTTGGCTTTCTGCTGTATCTATTTAACTCTGCCGTTTCAGCTTCTGTATTTTACACCTAGGAGACAGCTAATGATGGAATTTCTGAACAGAGAATTTTGGACCATCATTCATCTCTTTTACACATATGTACATCCTCAGTGATGTCTGTATATGAGCACCCTGCAGTACTTATTTTTGGGATGCCTCTAGGAATATGTTAAGTATTCCTCATCAGGCTGTCTATTACTAATATAAAGAACATTTTTCATCACTGCAGAATTAGGTGAGCAGCAAAGTTGTATCTGAGTTCATAAACTCATTCAAGCTGGCAGCCATGACAGGGAACTGAGCTACAATTCAAGTTAGGACAGCTCCCTGGATTTCCCTCACAACAGTCTGTGTTACCTAGTTCATAGGCTTTTCATGCAAACTAAGATAACTTGAGAGGATCTAAAACTATAGATAAAATACATATAGCAAATAAATGGCTGATTAGCATCAAAGAGGATCTTTGTGAGACAGCAGAATCTAATGTTGTTATTAGCAGGAGGCTGGCTAAGGAATGAGAGAGCAATGGCAGAAAATCTGTAACTTCATATTCAAAAATAATGTAGAAGAAAGATAACAGTTAAACCTAGACAGAATGATTTATTTTACTAAATATAGAATAAAATAAATGCTTATTGTCCTTGCTTGCTCTTTTCCTGACGACTTCTTGCTATCAGCTTATGCCAGTCACTCTGCACACTTCAGACATGATCTCTCAGCTGGAGCTGCAAATTCATTCCTGATGGGCTCAGCCAAAAACACTAGGAAGTTTCATTTTTCATTGCAACTCAGATTTCACTCACATCTAAATCCAAATTCTTGTTCAGCCAGCAATGGTACCTGAGGATTCCGTAGAGTTTTTCATTGTCTTCAGATTCTACTAGTCAGTGTCTGAGCACTACTGCAAACCTTTTATAAATTGAGTTCCAAATGTTCTCTTGACAGAAAATGCACTTTATTTTCCATAATTTCTAAAATATTTTGAAGTATTAGTGTTAATGGACAATTAGCCACATGACTGGTTTTCAATTCCTGTCCATAACATATTCCAGTCATCTTTTATACAAATAAAGACTTTTTTTTCTTACTTTGAACTGATTTCTGATTAATTTCCATGCACAGTGTATCTATCACTCTTTTCATTATTAATACTGATTAGCCAGTTAGAGCAATTAGGTAAAATGGATCATGGCTTTACACATAAACTAATGCTGAACTTCAGAATTACTTTCATGGTGAAAAAGAAAGGGAAAGTCTTACTAGAAGGCACAGATGAGAACTGAGAGCACAAAAGATTATTTTTTAGATAAAATATAGAAATTATTTTAATAAAGATAGGCATACCTACTCCTTGTCCTTCCTGGTAATCCAGTCAGTTTCAAATTCGTAAACAGTTGATAAACAGCAGTACAGAGGTTACTGAGAAAATTCAAAGATGCATCCTGAGGCTCAACTGAGGGACTGAGGGCTGTCCTGAGTGTTTTGTTGGCCATAGACCATGTGTGTGATGTTATATTTTGGAAGAAAGCCACAGGATTTTTTTTTAAGCTTTCCCAAATGTCAGCGGTAGTAATTTTTCAAGATGTGGAATATTTCATTCTCATTGTGACATAATACAAGCCATATGCCATGACTCTTACCATCCTTTGACCGCTAATTAAAGCTCTCAAATTGTCCTTGGCAATTAAAAGTTCCATTGTGAGAATGTCTATAAATAATAACTTCATTAACAGCTCTGAATTGCCTTCTCTGTGCCAATGCACACAGGGACAAACTTAGAACAAGGTTTTTGTTGTGTTGAGAGCTCCCTTCCCTGCTAGACATGAGGGGAAGCCATGCCAAGGAGCTGGGGGTAAAGCAGTACAGATGGGTGGGAATGGCTGCTGAAACATGAACCATGCTAAACCCCATTCCCTTTCTTTCTGAAGAGCACTTATTTTTGCATCCCACTATAGGTGTCCAGGGCATGAATCTCTGTGAATATTACTTCTCAGTAATATTCATGATGATTGCTGTACTTTCTCAGCTTGCACCCAAATAAGCTTCTTATTTTTCTGATTACTTTCTGGGACCAAGTAGCCTGAGAGTGGTTGTTTATAAATTATTTTCATATTTTTCATTCTGATTGTCCACTGATTAGAGCAATATTTTAAAAAGATAATAGCTTGCATCTCAGACTTTACATGCAAATCTGTCTTAAGTACAGCCATGCAAACAATGTGGGTTTTCAATTAAAAAAACCCAAACAAAACAATGAGAAATGATCAAGGCACTGGAATGCTATTTACTTATAGGAAAACATTCTTCTCATTGGCTACTTAACCAACATGTGCACCATCTATCTCAATTCTTATTCAATTGTGTCCATTTTTGTTTGATAAGTGAGTTAAAATGAAAAGGCAGGGGCAGCTGAATGGTGATACCTTGTTATGAACTTCCCTATAATGAAAAATACTTGTCTTCCAAATTTATATTCCTTAAAGAATAGTAAATTAGTTATGCAAACAGTGCTAAAATTGATAAACAAAAAATGTTCTAGTTAACACCATCACAATGGAGAAAACTCTAAATGGCTCAAGATTTAATGTGGGGTTTTTTTTAATATCTTGTAAAATTTTAATTTCAGCAAAGACTTGAAACACAACATGTAATTTGTGAATTACACATTATGCAAGGAATTCTAACAAACTACAGGAGGAAAATCTTGAAACAACCCATCTCACACTGACTCATAAAGGTAAGTGCAATATGACAGGAGATCTTCGTCACAGATTTTCCAAAGCATCCTCTTTGCTTACATTACTGCATTTCCGTGTTTAAGTTACTTTTTCCATAATTAAGAACATTTGAGCAATAACAAGAAGTTTGGAATTTGTCCTTGCTTGGACATGAATCTCTAGGATCTGCCAAGTTCCACATTTACTCACAGACTGAATAAAAAACTGCAGTTGCGTCTAAAATTTATATGATAAATAACAAGTCTTACAAAACTTGTTTCATCAAAATGGGATCAAAATAATGGTTTTGCAAATCCAACTCCTCTTTGCAAATCTAGTTTCTTATTTTCTGTTGTTTTTCATTGCTATATTTGGAACATTTTTCAGTAATGGAGAGAGATTCAAAATTGGAAATCTATGCATTTAGTAGAAAAAGTGAATAGGCACTGCAAGAGCTCCAGCATTAAAGATCTTAGAACAAGTCTAGAGAAGAAGCTGTAACTTTACACAGAAAGGGGATTTCATTTATTATGTCTTTACAACTTCATTCCTCATTTCAACTTATAGAAAGTATATAAAGATCTAGTAACATTTCAGAGTTTGCACAGAGATAATGGACTATGAATTAAGGCTTTTGTACCATAAAAAACCTATCTGTCTATTGGCACCTTCAGCTCAGGATACTCACAGCATGTTGGTTTGTTTTAAGCTTGAATGATGTCCAGTAACACTGTCTAGGCAGACTTTCCTGCAGAAAGTAAACACTTTCTAGAGCTGCACAAGAGTTTACAAATGCTAACTTAGACTCTCTAATCAGAATGATTAAACAAACATGTTGATGAACTTAGAAGTAAGAGTCTTTGCTTAATTATCACACACATTAAAAGGTAGACAAATGTTAAAAATCCCAAAGGTCTCCAGAGTTCTGGCTCTTGGTCCAACAGTTCAGCCATTAAAAATCTTTCTTTTGAGATGGCTGGAGCCTTTAATGTTGGGGACAAAACACCTTTTTGGATCAATATGTTTTAACGATTTCATTTTCTTTATTGAAATGTTTGGTAAATGAGCTTAATTATCTACTATAATTGTTCATTTGTTCTGGAACAGCATAAAAGGTTTTTAATATGTCCTTTTGATGTAAAACTCTTCATTCAGCTTAGTTGGATTTCTTCACATATACTATAGAGATCACTAAGGAGAGCTTAAAGTCTGGTGCAGTTATTTACAGTTCCCAAATAAGTGTGTAATAATAAAAGTGGTAATAATCAAGCAAGCCCTACTAACCACAGTTTACAGAGCTTGAAACAGCAAAATATGAAGGAGCCAATATGGGTTGAAAAACCAGCAATGTACAGATGGAAGAATGGAATGGAAAGATGATTCAATGGCTAAAGACTGCTTAGGGATTTGGGAGACCTGAACCAAGATCTTAACTCCTCCACTGCCTGAAAAAAGCAACCTTGTCCTGTCTGCAGCAAACACCAGTGGCTTGTGTAACAGGTTTTAAACTCTTAATTTTTCAAGTGAAGCCAATAATCCACTTGAAAAATGAAAGAGTGGAGAAATGAGAATGATTCCTGCCTGTAAACGCTGAAGGCCAGAAGCATCATCTGGCTGTTGATGTCCTTGCCATTCCTCTGGCCATGGTCCCCACCTCTGCCAGGCTGAATGGGAAGTCAGCTCTTTGCTTGGCCAAAGTCTTGATAACAGTTAACAGTTGTGGCAACCTCAGCAAAAGAGAAGACAGGAGCACAGGTAAGAGGGGGGGCAGGATAAAGAAGAAGAAAAAGATGTGATTACAGTTTGGCATCTTCTGCTCTGAAATTCTCAGGACGAGGACTGACCTCATTTTACCAAAAATCCTTCTCATATTTTGTAATGTTTCTGTAAGAACCGAACTGAGCCAAGTGTGACTGGAAACTGTCAGTAGGTCAGACGTAGCCTGGATGTTGCACTTTATTTCTTGGGTTTTCTTTGTTGTGTGTATAAATGGTGCATGTGAATACCACAAATGTGTCATCAGACTGAAGAGTCAGTAAAATGTGAATTAATGATTCATGTGTAAAATGTGAACTGATACTGTCTGTTCTGTGATGTACAGAAGCTCCTGCAGGGGCTTTCCATTATTGCTGGTGTCTGCATAGAACCTTGAGCTATTAGCAGGCAGAGAAAGGCTACCAAAAATATTCCAGTACCCTTAGCTGCCTTAATTCTGATTGAAACTTCCAAAGGCTCCGAGGGTGGTCAACAGCGCTCAGAAATGAGGCCTGAACAGAAAGAGCTCAAAGTAGCTAAAATTCTGTTGTTTCAGATCACTTTCCTTTGGTGTAACGGGAAGTGAGGTAAGCATCTGGAACAGTTGAACTTCTGACAAATCATTCCTTAGTAACAGGATACAGGCTAGAGAAGAAAATGCCAAGAAATCTCATTTCTCAAAGTACTTTATTTTCTTTTGTACATGCTTACTGCATAGCAAAAAAAAAGTGCCTATATATTTACATTATTTAAATTAATGTGATATTAACATAGTAACATTTTTATATTTTACTTCTCAGTACCAAATACTCAGAAATAACTTCAGTTACCTCAATAGCCTCTGTATGGAGTTAGTTCCTTTTGTGTAAGAGTTGCATGAACAGCATGCTTACGGATGAGACAGTATGATAACACTGGATATAACAGAAAGCCTTGCAGTGTTTCATCATAGTTGTCCCTGTTGCTTCAGACAATAAAAAGGATGAGCAATAGAAGTATTTATGACATAGGATTATATTAGATTATCAAAGAAAAACCATGGAAATTGCCTATAAATAATATACAGTGATCTAAATCCCATAGTCTATAAATTACCTCTGCACACTTCTATTTTGCAGCATAGTTACTTGAAGGCTTAACACAAATTTCCCATCTTAAATGAACTTTATTGCTCCATTCAAGCTCTGGCAGATAAAGACCATGTAGTTGCCATCTGAATTTACTCATGTCACTGAACTCCATTTCTCTTGCTAGATTTAAAAGCTGTAACCTTAAGAACAGATCAGAGACTGTTAGTTTCAGCATAGCTTAGATCATTTTCCATTCAGTCTCAGTCAAGGTTCCTAGAGGTTAAAGTACAAACAGACAATTCAGTACACTATGGGTTTTTTAGGTCTATGATCAACTTAGCTCAAAAATACAGTCCAATTGGTGAAAAGCTATCTTGTATTAAAATCTCATGGATTAAGTCTACTGATAAAATGTAAGTATTATTAGAATCTGAAAAGGCTATTCTTGAATACTCTGAGGTTTCAAGACCCCTGTTATCTTCAGTTAGATTTCTAATGTAGTTAGGTGATGCTCTTCTTCATATTCTCAGTTTCTACTGTTTCTGAGATTATACCAGTTGTGCCAAGGTTTTATATACCCATTGAATAATATTAATCATACTTTGCAAATACTAAAAACCCGAGTCTCTGAGCTGAAGTGTAAGCATGAATATAAATAGCATTCACTCACTCAAAAGGAGTAAGTGAAAGCTTTCATTCCAAGGTAGAAGGGGTAAAGAATCTTCTTCTATGAAGAAAACTCAGCTAACTTCTTGCAGGTGGGTGCAGGTTCCCTTCCACTAGTGCTTTACCTTTTTCCAGCTACTTTTCATACGGACTTGCTCATGTAAATCTGTAACTGACCGGAGCAGTTGCAAAAAGGCACTGCTTGTCAATGAAAGAATCAGAGAGTTTCAGATGACTGAAGAGAGAAATTAAAAACCCAAAAGATGGACACGTCTAAAAACGCATCCTACAGGACTCACTTAACAGAGCTTATTCAAATACAAGCCCCTCCCAGATCAAAAATCTTATTTAATACACTATTATAGGTACCATATGTAGCTGCACAATCCTGACAATAATTTTTGTACTGGGGCTCCATTCAGATTGTATGCACACCTTAGAAAAACATTCCAAGTGATACATGAGCCTAGTATCATTCAGCCATGAAAATGAAAGTAAGCTAGAAGGTAGGATTCAATAATGAAAAACATCCAATAACATTAGAAGCAGATCTCTTTATGGAGTTTCCATTAAGATCAAACCATTGTTTTCCCTCATGTAATGAACATGTTTATTCTGTGGACCCATAGCAGACGGATATGAGTGGAGACTGATATGTTAGAAGGCTTTCTTCCTTTAAGGATTTCCTAAAATTATGCTATTGGGGTAAAGATATAACAGACTTTTTCCTTGAATAGTCGCTTGAAATGGAAGTTCTTAAAGTGTCCAGGGAGTTTTCCATCTGCACAGACTGTAATTTTCTGCACCTCTTTGTAAACAAGTCCTTGTAGAATTCCACAGCCTTCTTCTGGAAGTTTTTCCCAACAATCACATACAAGACTGGGTTCAGGCAGCTGTTGCTAAAGGAACAGTATGTGGCTATCTGGGTCAGCACATCATTGATGTCTTCCAGGCATTTGAGAGTGGGTGAGAAGTAACGGATTGTGTCAATGAACGTGCTGATCTGGAATGGAAGCCAGCAAATGATGAACAGCAGGAGCACAGCAAGGACCAGCATGGTGGCTCTCCTCTCTGTCTGGACTACCTTCATTTTTCGTAGCTCACTGCTTCGTAAAGCTTTGATGATATGCACAGTGCAATAGGTAATAACACAGAATGGGATCACAAACCCCACAATATTCAGCAAGGAGTTGTTTGTGGGCTCCCAGTAGCTGGCTGGGTAAAGAAGAACACAGGCTGTGATGTTGTATTGTTCAAAAAACCGCAAATTTCGAAACACCATTGTAGGTGAACACATGAGCACTGCACATGTCCAAATCACAAAACAATTCCATTTGGCACAGACGGTTCGTCTCATCCGTCCAAGAGACATGGTTTTCACCAAGGCCAGGTAGCGGTCAATGCTCACCAGTGTCAGGAAATAAATGCTAGAATACAAGTTCATGTAACTCATAATGTTGACAGCTTTACAGAGAAACAGGCCAAAAGGCCAATGAAAACCATTAGAAATATTAATGGCCCAGAAAGGTAAAGTACAGACCAGCATTAGGTCAGCAAATGCCATGTTTGCTAGGTAAATTTCAGCCACTGTGCAGCTGCTCTTGTGGAAACACAGGACGGTGAGCACAAAGGAATTTTCTATTGATCCCAGAATAAATATAAACCAGAGAAATCCAGGCTGAAAATCCACTAGCCATTTCCATACATCGGTACTAACACATCCATTTTGATGTATCTGATGCACTCCTGAATTATTGTGGAAATATTCTGGACTGACTGTGAGCTCCTGGGTGGTCATGTTGTACAGCTGTGCATCATTTTCAGTTGTGATGGAAACCATTTCTGTGAAGAGAAAAATAGGTGACGTAAGATTGCTACATCTAGCTCATTGTGGCAAAAGACACAATAAGAAAACTGTCTTTTGCTTTTCCTAATGTCCCAGAAGCGTAGCTTTTGAACAGGTTTATAGTTCCCTGGGTTTCTTCTCATAGACCTTGGGTGTGTCTGTGGAATGTTTTACAGACTGCATTGCCATTTTAGGCAAGCAAAACAGAGGAGATGTAGAAACAGCAGATACTGTTATGAATGGGTTAACTGAAGAGAACATTTAGAAGCCTTTATTCACTAGAACTGACATGCATCAAGTCTTTGTTAATTCTTTGAAGATGTTCACCATTAGTTTGTCTTCTTATCTTTTTATTTCCTTAGCCATGGTCTCCTAAAGGACAGGTCCACCTTGTGTCTCAGGTTGCTCACAGTAAAGCTGCTAGTTCTGTGTCACATCCTGCAACATTTTACACCTCCCCTTGTGGAGCAAGAATTGAGTGGAATTCAGTGGTGCTTCCCCCCCAAAGAACAGCATATATTTTCCCAAATGTTATGACTGTACAATAAATAGACATTTAGTTTGCAGCTGTAGTTTGCATTGAGAACACTGAGGGATCAGCCAGCAGTACGCCTTTCTCAGTTTCTCACGGAAATTATCTGTGTATTTCTGTCTCTGTGTTAGTCTTTCTGCAGCCAAGTCACAGAAGAGATAAATGGCACAACTTTCATGAGGGAGCTCAGTTTTAAGAGGTGCTCAGAGGGTGGGTTGGCAATTTAGTAGAGACAGGGTCCATCCTATAAGCCAGGACTTGTCTGCAGTCAGCCACCTTGGGTGCAAGAGCACAGTCTGAAAACCAGAACACTGTAAACATTCTACAGATCAGAACAGCCAGGGAGCTATTTATGGGCAGAAATGTCAGATGTGTACTTAATGTTATTAGAACCAAACAGAAGTTGAGTGTGCAGCATCATTCACCAATGATAAAATGTTAACTGTGTTTTCTTGGATAATAAATGCTGAAGTATTATTCAAATGCAAGATTGGTTTCCCAGATCTGTACTTATAATTCTTTGGACTGAGTGACAGAAATACTGTTCATCTTTTTTCGGGCCTTTATAATAACTGCTGTTGATTGGAGATTTTCAAGTGTATTTTTAATTAAGACATTTGTCCTATTCAATTGTTAACTTGGCAGTAAAAGGGACACTTGCAATTCCTGAAAGGATGAGGGTTCTCACTTGTTTTTTTGGTTGCTGAAATTGTTGGCTGGTAAGTATCAGTGCCTAATATACATACAGAAATTTGGCTACTGGTTGCAGAATTGATGAAAAATGGTCATATTTTATGTACTTTGTATTAATAAAGCACTGCAGCACTTAAATATCTCAAAGTCCAGCTTGTGTAGATGTGAGAGCTGCCACTAACAAAATGCAAACAGCAGTTTCAAGTCTCCCTTTCTTTCTGTGCTGGCACTTTTCACTGTAAATCACAGGAAGTGAAATACTAATGGATGGCCAACAAGAGGTCATCTGAGAATAGAGAAGTTCTGTTGTCTGATGCAATTATCAGAAACTGTTTCTTCTGCTGGTAGGCAGCTCACAGAAGGCAATGAACCAGCAGAAAAAAGTAAATTTTAAGTGCATTATTTTACACTTTGAAGATGGATGTAAGCATGTATTTAATGAGCATTAGTAATTCAGAGAGTAGCCACAAAGGCCATGTTGTTTTTTTCTGTGATTTTTCCTCATTACATTAATTTACAGCAAATAGCAGCTCCAAAATGTATATTGATTTATCTGTATTTTCTCTGCAATTAATCTCTTTCAGATTTTGGTTTTAGAAGGGAAGGACCTAGAATACTTTAAAATAAATTAGTTATACCATATTACTGTGGTCAAGGAACAGCATGTAAACACTGGTTAGGATGTCACCAATTCCATGACATGGGGCTTCTGGCAGCCTGCATCCTTGATCCTTAGCTCAAGTCATTCATTGCTAAAAATGGGAACATGAACAAGGCAAAATGTGATAATTATCAATTCACAAACCTTAGTGTTTAGGGTTAAAATGATTTGCTTGGTGCTATTCTATATCATACAGGAGACTCATTTAAAGTATGTGATTGCTGAATAAATTATGATTGACAAAGCCACAGCTTAGAGAAGGCAGTGATTTGCTGTTTTCTTGTCATATTTTAATGAAAATAAATGTGATCCTTTCACACATTCTCTATAAATACTTTCTGTGCAACGCAAGACAAGCCCATATCTCAGCAGGGACTTTAAATAAGATTTTATGTGGCAGTCTTGATTGAAATACTGCCCAGCTGAAGTCATCTATCATTACTGATTCTGAGGGACCCCTGTGGGGGCTGAATTTGAACCTGATGGAGTTCACATCCTGTTGTGAGTTGCCTCCTGCTTGACAGTCTATAAAACCCACTGTCAGTCATTATCTCATGTTGTTCTGGAGCACTTTTTTAACAGCATTGGGAACAAGTGACATGGTTTTGATGGAGGGTGTATCAGGGTGCCCTGTGTGGAAGGCAGTCATGGACAGTGCTGGTAGCAGACACTGCCCTCATTGAGGCAGGAAGGATTTAGGGTCAGCTCATGGGGGATTGGTAAGATCCTGCCAAAGCTGCAAACGAGGAGCCCTTGCAGAGGGACTGGGAAGAAGGGGTTAATCAACTGGTGAATTGTCATTACAAGCAGGTGGAGAAGGACTCCAAAAGGGTGGTGGCCACCAGTGCCATAGCCTGAAACTCTGAGGGCTGGGCAGTCACCAGGACACCTTGGTGTCTCCTGCCAAACTTATGGGATGTCCTGCTGTTCAAAGACTGACCCACACATACAGCACTGGGGGGAACACGCCAGAAAACAGCATGAGTTAATCAGCAAGCCAAGGATAACATCTAGAGTCCAGCAGAATGGTTAATCCTAGAATGTGGAAGGGAAATCTCCATGTTACAACAATACATGCTGGGGCCTACAGAAGTTCTTGAAAGAAAAGGAGGGGAATATGTTGAATTGGATCAAAAATTCCTCTAAGAATCAAGAGATACGAGCTAAGGAATGGAAGGATAGGGGAAGAAAGGTCAGAGCTTAGTTAATGCAAGCTCTGCAACAGCTTTACTCTGCAGATGGAATATGCTGCTTCAGGTGAATGATTTTCAGCATCTCTTTCGGGTCTGGATGAAGCTCTACAGTTACTGAACTCGTGACTCTATTAGTACTGCTGCTGTTAATCTTTCTTTGTACTATGCTAAACACTAATACAGTGAATAAATAAATATCTCATGATGGTCTTAGTCATGTCTTATACAAGGACAAGTTCTGAAATGTGTAATACATGTTCGGGTTATTCCAATGTTACCTGCAGTAATCTACCCTGTGGGAGTAAGAGACAGACTTTATAATTTATATTTTACAGCTGTTGTGACTTTGCTGATTACATATTTTGCAGAAACAAAGTGTGAAATTTGTAATTAGTATATTCTGAGATGGTCATAATACTAACCTTGCTAATTTAGTCCTCAGAGACAAGAGGTGGAGCCTAAGACAGATAAATGCTGTTATGATGTTAACTGCTATAATGCTGTTTGTTGGAGCAAAAGTGAGAATATTAACAAGCATAGGTACAACAGTTCTGATGTTTTCCTACACAGTCCTGATGTTTTCCTACACAGTCTAATTTGCAAGGACATAGGATATAGTGGCCTCAAGGCCCCAGTCTTCTCCAAATGAGAAATTTCTTTGATGGTTGATCTTCCACGATGAAATTTGCCTAGAAAGCAGCCTTAGTCTTCATTTATTTCAGGGATTCCTTAGCAAGGCCATGTGAAGGAGAGGCATGCTACACCCAGACTGTAGCATCCTTAGCAGAATTTTACAATTACCTGGTTTGCTTTAAGTGCTGTCAGTGGCCAAAATTGTTTTCAGATACATAGAGCTGGCTTGCCATATGTACATCCATACAGCTCCACGTACACCTGGGGGTCAATGGCACAGAAGAGAGAAAAAGCTGAGAGCAAAAATAAGAATTTGAATAAGTGGCTGCAAGCTGTCTAACTTCTGACATAGTGTTATTTTAGAGGATATGTTAGTCACAGAAAGAAATATCAAGGGCTTTCTCTGCAGAGCCCAGTCTGCTCTGACACTGTATTTTTTGTGTGATTTTGTCCACCTGAACATTTCTGAGCCCAGCTTGGGCAGCTAAGTGTCCCCAGTGTAGTAATTATGTTGAGATGGACACGACTGGCATCATCACCAGTCCTTTATTAAAAACCTTTCATTCATTCTCTCAGTGGATTTCTCTCAGGCAGCTCTAAACAGCACTAACTCTTTCCCTCTGCAAGTTTCCTTCTACATGACTGGCTAACCCCAGCTTGTCCCTTACCTGGCCCCCTAACCCTGTCTGTCCTTCACACATCATTTTCTTACCTTTTCTGTCCCTTGCACGACCACATGTTCCTTCCTCCTCACAGCACAGCCAGCAGACTCCATCTCAAACTGCAGCAAACTCTGCTTCTCAAACTCCAAGTAACTCTTGACCAGCTAACCCACTCTTTTATAACTCCCGTCCTCACTGGGCAGGCAAGGCTGTCTCCAGTCCTCACTAATGAGTGCAGCTGTAATTCATTGAGGAAAATTGCCTTCTGCACTACTCTTACAAACCATTCTCCTACACCCTGGTGGTGCTTATTTGCCAGGCAGCTTCACTTCTTCATGCTAATATCAGAGCTGCAGTAAATGTAATACAGGACCTGCCAGATCCATGAGAGGAAAAAGGGTATTTGCCTGACAGATCTGCTGTGACTGAAATGGGAAATAGCAGGAGTTTAAAAGCTGCTGTAGGTGATGGAGGTCTTCCACTGTGTGGTCTGAGCAAGGAAGCCTGGGAATCCTGCTGGCCCCATTCAAGTACCACTGCTGCCCCCAGGACCCTGGAGTGTAAACCTAATAGACTCAGCAAGTTGTTAGGATGCCGTAATGATGTCCCCTAAACTGCCTCT